TGTATTTTAGGGGCTGTATATGTTGAGAAACCCATTATAGATCCTTTGACGGACTTCATACCTCTCATTCCTACAAACGATCGAGCTCACACATAGTGAGTAGCATGGCTTTTCAAAGCCTTGCACTTGGGAGTTAATAAGTTAACAGAGTATTATGGATCGTTAGATGCGCTTACAGATCCACGAAATTCACAATGATTTTTTCCCTATCCGAATCAATACGAACAACAGAATACAATTGTGGAATTTACATATGAGAGAAAACTTGTGGATCAACCCAACAAGCTTTTTTGGAAAGCTATAACAAAAGACGGGCGGAAAATTATTGTTAAATTCACATGGGATTACAATCAAAGGGCACACAAACTGTGTAGCGAAATTGGAAAAGCGCCAAAATTACTCTACATTAACAAAGAAGTGGTGGATGGATTTTACATAGTAGTTATGGATTACGTTGAGGCCGAGCAACTTTACGAGTGCAACTCACTTAGTCATGATGAATATAAAGCGGTTTTCAAGGACATCAAAGAAGCTATCGACAAACTGCATGAGGAAAATATTGTCTTTGCTGACCTCCGTGATTTCAATATTTTGGTTAACAAATTTCAAGGCCAATATCAAGGAATGTTAATAGATTTTGATTAGGCCGGTGAAGGAGAAGTCATGCGCTATCCATCTTTCATGAATCATAAACATATTAATTGGCCACCAGTGGCTGAAGATAGGAAGAAGCTGTGTCGTAAACATGATGTTTATTGGTTGGAGTTGTTGAAATCTAAATACTTGGGTGAGAGTGTAGATCTCGAATGATTAGTTAGCATGGTATTTGAGGATAAAGTAGAAAAAAAACAATTATGTATGTAAGCTGTGCATGTATTTAATATAATTTGTTTTTAATGATACTAGCAAGTTGATAAATAATAAAATTTACAGTAAGTTTTTAGCGATGATTGTGATAGAATTTGTGTTTTATTTTTTGCTGTACAATAGAGCCGGCCCCGGTGGCTGATTTGCATACATAATTATGTTTCTTTTGCATGTATATTTATTTTATTATACTGTTATCAATGTATATCAAAAAATAATATGTATCACGGGCTAGTCCTGAACATTTGTATTTATTTTTCGCATGTATTAGCATAGAAAATTTGTCATGTATCAGGTTGACAAAGTCAACTGACTTTGTATTTGTTTTTTATTTCTGTATTAATAAAGTTCGTCTTTACATTCGCAACATAATATTGAATAATTCACATTCTTGTATAAAATTTTATTGATCATGACAAGTACTCAATCCAACAATTCATTAAGGGAATTAAATGCCAAGCTCTTAGCTGAGATTTGTGAGCTTAGGAAGAAGGTTGCTGAGGATGAGGTTGAGAAAACGAAACTGAGACAGGAGCTTAAGGCCAGAACTGATGAGCTGAAGGAAACTATATCACATTATTCAGTTGAGATTGGCAAACTTAACGGCATAATTGTGGAACTAGAGAAAAATAAGACAGTTATAGCTAAACTCGAGTCTGAAAATGCAGAGTTTAGAGATAGGATCACAAAAGTGGAGCAGAGACAGATGCTAAGTGATAATGTTTCTAAGGTAACCAATTCTTCCAATAACAGCTCGTCTAACTTCAATTTGCTTGCAGATCAGTTACCTATGGAAATGGATACTTCATTACCTGAAGAATCGATACCAGAAGGGTTACCAGAGCCAGCTGTTAATATACCTGTTATGGACCAATGTGATCAGACATCCTTGGAAAATAAGGAAACAGATTCTTTCTTGAATGAGGTGCATAAGAAAAAGGTTAGTGGTGAGATTAGACAACGCAATAGGGAGAAGAAACTCTTGCATGAATCGGCTAATCAAGAGACATCCTCAATTTCCCAGGATATTTCTTCTGTGAAGAGTCATGATGATCGGAGCAGTTCGGAAAATTCGGTAAAAAATAGAAACTCTGTCACGAATCGTGACGATCGGCAAAAAAATATTTCAGTCATTACTACATTTCAGAAAAATAATGATAATGACATTGAGTTCACTAAAAGTCAGGTGTAGAGCAAGAATTAACAAAGGAATTGCTCAGCGGTATCATTTCTGCTCCATCAATCTCTTTTGAAGCTACAGAACAGATACCTTTGGTGTCACATCCATCATCAACTTTAGATATGACGCAAAACTTAGTCCATTTATTCCAGAATGCAATACGAGCTAGACACAAGATGATCTTATCTTGGCTCTATTATTCAAATAGTTTTGAAAATAAAGTTGATGAGATTCGCCATAACACTAGAGCTTCAGATAAAACAGCTAGATCACAAATATACAAAGAAATACTAGAGCATCTACCCGGCATCACATTGGGAAACTTGCGTATGAGAACCCTACGAGCTAAAAAAATCCGTATGTTATTCGGAGAAGGTGGAGTGGGAATAGATAAGGTTAAGCAGGTTACTTTCAGTGTTTATGACATTTCAAGCCTTAC